AGTTTAGGTATATAAAAACTGATGAAATGCATTAAATTAAAATACTAAATTGAACTTTTTATGATATTAAATATTTCAATCTTTAAATAGATTCGAATTTATTTTATTTTTTATATACTATAAGCAAAATACGTTTCAAAAATATTTCAGGTAAAATAAAATATTTAAAAAATATAAATGTCATTTATTAATAGTTAATATAAGAATTAAAAACGTAATTTTAGGTATGTTGACTAAAAATGCATCTGCGAAAATAAATATAACTTCTTGGTAATGAAGTTATGCACATTCTAAAAAAACATTTATAAAAATATATAGATAGGTTTTTGGTAATGTATCTTTTAAAATACAATTTATCTCGCTTTTGAAAAAAAAAATAAATATTTTTTATTAGTATTTACAAATTTGAGTTCATTGAAAACAGAGACTATATTATAATACCCTCTAATGGGTGGCTGCTTTCCACAAATGATTTATGTATATTTTAACTTATTGTACTATTTTTTTTTTCTTCGTTAGATTAGATTAGATATGTTCAATACTTTATTATGTTATTCCTTTATCGCATTTACTTATTGTGCCAAGGTACAGATTGTAAATTTATTTTAAAAATAAAAAAAAATAAATATTATAATATGACATTAATAGTCCAAAGGTCAAAAATCCTTTGAATCAATAGTTTTAATAAAGTTTTCCATTTGTATGTATATCGAGTTATTTCATGGTTTAATATTTTATTTACACCGAAAATTTCCTGACTTGACAATGTGCAATTTTTTTTGAGACAGCATCTTAAAAAATAGAGTATATATTATCATCTTACAACAATTAATATTTATAAGTTAAAAATTCATATTTAAAGAAAATTCGCTGCGTTCCCATAGTGATGATAAGATCAATACGTAATTTTAGCGTTCGATTTCAAAAACTTATTCATATAAATTGACACTGTCTTATGGATATTAATTTAAAAAAATAAGATTTTTAACCTTTGGTATCTTAATAGCATGTTATTTAGTTTCTATTTTCAATAAATAAAAACATTTTTTTACTTCTTTGAAAGTCATTTCATATTTTCCCGTTTTCCTGGAACATATTACACTACAACAATCATGACATTAGTATTATATAGTTAAAAAAAAATCTGAATTTATAAATTTGTTTATTATATTTTAAATCGAAGTTATTAAAATGCTCATAAACTATTATAAAAATACAATGCTTAACAATATTTCATCATAATGTTTATTAATTTTAAGTTATTTTATATTTTATGTTTATACATGAACTTTATTATTATATATTTATATAGAACGATATTATGGAATTTAGATATTCTATTATGACGATAGAGGAAAATTATCAGTTGTGGAATTCAGTTTTGAAGGAAATTTATGGCTATAATTATTATCCGGGACGTCATTTGGGGGGCGACATTATAACTTATAATGTGTCAATATCATATAATGACGTACGCGTAGGTAGGTATTTTTTAATTGTAGTGATTAACGGTTATTGTGGTTATGTTTTTATTATTTACATAATGAAACATCATATTACTGTGTTATTAGTGTCAAAATTTGTTTATATATATATCCTTATTCTTATCCTTATATATATATAAAAGAACAGGCATTTTTTATGTTACCATTTTGTGACAATACCATTTAACATTTTACCAAATTGTTTTTTTTCACAAGGTTGTACTAAATTCATACGAGTGATCTATTATTCGTAATATAATTTTATTCGTCATTACAGTCATTTTGAGAAAGCATAAACTACACACGGGCAAAGTCGGGTGATTTAGTTAGTATATATATATATATATCAATAATTATTATTTGGGTAAAAATCTGTAACTCAAAAAAAAAAAAATAAATAATAATAATATTATATTGATAAAAATTACAATAAGATGGTGATTAACTCAATGACTCGGTGTGGTTCTTTTAATTATCATATTACAGTGATATATAGTCTTAAAAACGAAAAATATTAATTATAATAAATAAAATGCCTTAATAATATGCATGCACTTATACACTTAAAATTCCTAATATATGCATTACAATTTTTATTGTAATGACTATTAATGAATATATATAAATAAATAAAAAGCTTATTTAATGAGACATCGTTAAATAAAACATGAGCAGTGTCTAAGTCGTTACTAGAGTGCACTTAAATACCTATTCAATCGGCAGTGCGTTTAGATTTTCAAATAATTAAATGGTATAAGAATTGAATGTTGTTTTGATAAACATTATTTAAAAGAAAATGTGCAAAAATAGTAAAAAAAAAAAAGAAGATATACTTCTCACAATGCAAAAACAAAGATAAATAGATGTGTTTCGAAATATGCTGCTTTATAAAATTACATATTTGTTCTTGTCGTGAATTATCGTGTTATGACGCAAATTAATTATTTCTGGTTGTCTCTTTTTTTTTTTTTTGAAAAAAAATTACGCAAAACAAAAATGCAAGTACTTCAAATCCTCTAATTATTATACATTATAATATAGGCATATAGGAATTGCAAGGTAATCGACATAGGTACTTCTATTATCCAGATTTAGTCAATTAACTACAAAATTTATGATCGTTTATATTATACGTACAAATATAAAAAAATACGATAACTAAGTTAAAATAAGTGTGGTATATAATAAATATACTGAAATTTTGAAAACAAAACTTAAAATGTCTAATTGAAACCTACAGGTAGTGCTATGTCATTATAGAATATGTGTTATATAAATCACTAATCAGGAACTCTTGTATTATCATTTACAATAATATGTTCGATTATATTATGTAATAATTTTGTTGACTAAAATAAAAATGTAATCGTAATCTCGATTCGTGATTATCAAACAATTATATATAATATGGGTATTTTTTTTAAATGTGATTATTTTTAAAATAATCTCTTGCAGAATTGTTATTAACGCATAATTCAATTTTGTTAGCCCCCACAATCTGCGTGTGCCTAGGAATAAACTAAATTTAAAAAATGAAATAATAATACGTCATTATCTGTGAATTAATATCATTATCAAAAATATGAGAAAAATATTATCAAGATATTAAGATATCTTTATATTATAATATTACCTAATATTTAGGAATATTACGCATAAGTATAAAAACTTGCTACTTAAATTAATACAACCGTGGTCCAACAAAATGATAATTTGACAAAAGTACACATATATAATTATTTTATAATATTTAAGAGCAGTCATTATTATTTATTGAAACAAGTTTTAAATTAAGATTTCTATCATTAGGTTAAAACATGATCGATTTAATTACACTATTTACCTATATTAATGCGCGTAAATATATATATATTATGTATATTTTTATTTTATAAAATAAACATCTATTAAGCACATTTCTAATAAAATTCTTCGATTTTTGAAAGTGATGAGATAAGTAAGGGTTTCAATATTGTAGTACATATTTATTTGAAATTGATAGTTTTATTTAAATCTATATATAAATTGAAAGTAAAACATAGTATTTAAAATAATTACCAAAATGATAGAACCAGGTGTAGTATACAATAATAATAGTCCTTTGTGTATATAAGTAATGTTAGTAGTATATCTATATTATTTTTCGTACATTTATAATTATTAATATTTTAATAATATTGATTAATGACGATTGAACTTTAACTTAACATATCGTTTTAATTTATTCAATAGCGTCAATATGAAAATAATTAGTTATTAGGTGTTAAATTAAAAATGTTTTAAGTTTTATTACAAAATAGTTTACACATTTTATAAAAATTTAGATAATATGACCTCGATATTTTTTAACTGCGAAAAGAATAATTTGCAAAGAACCCATACATTAAATGTTCAAGCATTTTTATTCATACTTATACAAAGATTTTATAAAACAGCAATCGAAAATAAATTAAAAACTCAACAATTTTTAAATATCTATAAATAGCACAACTAAACACAAATATTTTGAAAGTTAATCATGTCCATTCATTTTTATTACTAGTATTTTGTAAAAATTGCAAGTCCCTGTAGCTATTTACGTTTGAATTACAATAAAAAAAAAGTAAAATTGACTATGCTAAAAACTGGTTTTACGTACAAAATATTCATAGTATTACACAATAACCGCTTAATAATGATGGTATAAATACGAAGACTACTATTGTAAGTTATACTTGAATAAGTATATAAATATCACCAATATAAAAATACTTTAAATTATAGTGGTAGATCTACTATTTGCTATATAGTATAATAGCTATTTATATAAAACATTAGGCAATTTTTTTTTTATATTTAAAATGACGTAATTGAACATTTTTACGATTTTTTTTCATGAAGTTGTCCCAAATATCAATCTAAGTGTCCTCGTGAAGTCTCTTTTCAGTATTTAGTCAATTAAGAAAAGTAAGAGGAACACATTTTATTTCAATATATCAATAAGGGATCGGAAATTATAGCAACTAAATAAATACTGTTTAGCACTTGAAAACGTTAAATATGTATTGTAAAAAACTAAGAAATATTCGAAGTAAAATTTTAAAAGAAAACATATACATTTTTTATGCTTTGAAATCATTGTTTTATCATAATTTATAGATATATATGGCTAAGTGTGAGATGTTTAGGAATTCGATACCTACCGACTGTTTATTTCTACAAAAATAATTCACTTCTACATTTTCGATAGTTCCAATTATAATTTTAGACGTTCTCGATGAGAATATGATATAAAATAAGTCATCAAAATGTGTTTGATTTCATTTATTTATGTGAGAAAAAAATAAGTCGTAGGTATACGCCAATATGTCGAAACGAATTTGTATCTTTGGACGTTCCAAGACTTATCAATGAAAACATGGATTCGCTTGGACTTTCGAGTCATGAATTATTTCATAACAATCGGATAAATAATATTATAAGTTATTGAAATGACATCATGACAGTAATTGATACGATTTTTAGACTCGGTCTTACCTCCATGTTTCCACTGTTGGATCTTGCAGTACAAAAAGCACAGGCACACGCACGCGGCGCATGACAGGGCCAGTGTGGATAAGATGGCGTTGATCCAGACGTCGTTGATGACGATCTCATCGTACATGAGCCGGCCGTGCACGTTGACTGCTCCGCGATGCGTGCCGTTGCGCTGGCCACTTCGGATTATCGTGGAGGCCACGGTCGTCGACGTGGCCACAGCGATCGTACGCGCAGTGGCCGTCGGAGTGGTTGATGCCAGTAGAGAGGCGTCCATCATATAATATTAGAGTAAAAATATGTGCGGATACAACAATCCTGTGTGCGGGATGTGAAAGTCGCCTGCGGCTCAGACCTAAAAAACGATAATAAAAAAATTACAAAATAGAACTTAATAATTGTCGTGCATGTACGCCTCAGAAAATTAACTGATGGCCCGCCCCACTCGTTAGACTTCGAAATAATAGCTACTTTGTCATCAAAACCCTCTTATTAGAAAAAACATCGTAATTTTCCATTCCGGAAAATTTCAAAGACACCAAAGCACAACCGCAAGTGTTGCGATTTTCTAAATAACTTAACCCAAGTAAATGTTCAAAATAAGTAGTGTTGTCGAAAGCGAATGGCTTCTCCAGTCAAATATTTTAGTTGTTAATTATATTTACTATTTTAGCATTTGATAATTGCTTACTGTTCTCAACAGAATAGATTTTAAAAATTTTGTGGATAAACACAACAAGATGGAGAACTTAAAAATTTAGAAATTATCGGTAAATCGGTGAAATAAAATTATGAAGTGTCATATCTCTTTTTTTATGGATGACGCGTCACTGCCAACCGTTTATACAACTTTTCTATTGTATTATCTTAAACAATTACTGTTGAGTTTAAGTATAAAAGTAAATGTTTCAATAAGTATTCATTATAATATAGTACCTAATGTTGTTATGGTAATTTTATTTTACAATTATCATGAAGAATTTGGATGCGCAAAAATAATATTTTATCAAATTGTCTTTACTAACATGCAAACGAACATTCGTTGAATACTAATTGAGTTCGTATTTCGGAAGGTAAAATATAAATAGGTATAAACCAGTTCAAATAACTGAATTGTGTATATACATACATGTATTATACTGTATTACGTGAATTTATCCAATTTTTCAAAATTAACATAAAGTAGGTAACCACTCTTTTGTATACTAAGTAGTAAGAGTCGAGTGTACTTCGTAATAGTCGTAATAGAGTAGGTCACTTACTTAGTTTATTGTATACGGATGTTTTTAATTAGAATTTAATACTAAATTATTGCATTTGAAAAACGATTCTGACCGATTAGATAGTCAATCGGCCTATTTCATAGTTATTTTTTATGTTTTTTGATATTGTTTTAAAGTAATTTTATTACTACAAGTTTAATAGTAGACCGATTAAATTTTTGCCGAACATATTTCATTTATTTTATTATTGATATTTAATTATTGTAATAGCATAATATATTTGTATCAATTATTATTATTACCTAACTTTTGATTCTTTTAAGCCAACACTGCTTGTACCACATAAAACGGCGTGATTTTTAAATCACAATAAAATAATTAAAGTCGTTATTTTTCGTTCAATATCTAATTTTTAACTTTAAATAATGTCTTAAAAAATAAATTATATATTTTTTAGATTTTTGGTTTCAGAATAAACTAATTAGGTGCCTTATATTAAATTTCTAAACTTTTTTTATGAGCAATAACTCTAATACCAAGCTGCATGAAAAATCTATTAATTTAATAGTTCAATAAAATATAGTGGATCAATCACGGGTCACTAAATCATATTTAAAAGGACCATAAACTCACTATTGATTTTTTAAATGTTTAATGATTGTTTATGTAACCTAGTATATTTACATTTACTGGTCCAAAAAGTAATAATAGACACTAAAAAAAAAAAACCTTTTTTGTAAGATCAAAATTCATTATTCCATTCAGAGTCTAAAACATTTTTAATTAAATCTGTAGAATTTGTACGGCCTCTCTCCTGGCAAGATTCAGTATTAAAACATAGGCCCAATTAGTAAAAAAAAATAATTTGTTAAAGAGCCGTTGGACTTAATTAGTTCAAAGAGGTTTTATTGGAACTCAGTTCGAATGCATCCGAATATTTTATAATAGGAGCAAATAATAGTGACTTGAAGTTGGTCTCCATAAAATTTTAATTTTCGACTGAGTTTTAAATATTTTTATATTATTATGTTCTACATACTCAAATAATTATAAATAACTTAAATATAGAATACTGTAAAAAAAAAAATAAAGTTTAATTATTATTGATTATAGATAAAGTTCTTATTACCTTTAAGTTTGTTAAAAATTCAATTAAATTTACCTAATAATAAAGTTAATAATATAAAATAGATCCTGCTAAAATGATCTATTTTACACATTAATACGTTTGTAAAACGTTGACAGCGCATGCGGGAGTGGCATCTTTTTACGTAAAATAATGTATTATTAACCTATAATTACATTTTATTATAAAATAGTTCATATTTTGAATAATATGAAATATTATTACAACTATCTTCTATACTAACTTAAATTAAAAATTTGTAAACAAATTAATGTGTTCAAGTAATAAAATGTAATAAGAAATATTACAGCCAATAACAATATTTTACACAGCAAACTAGCTTATTAGTTACTTGCATAATATATATATATACATAATATTATACATATTTATTAAAATTATTTATTATAGATTCAATGTAGAGATCATTATTTAATTTTATATTTGTATATTTTTTCTTATTATTCTTAAAAATGGAAACCCGATTATTTGTTACCTATTAAAATAAAATATTATCATTTACTAACCGCTGTTCATAGCATTAAATTATGTAAGCTCTTACTATGGGAAAATATCTGAATAAAAAACCTCGTATTTTTATATGAAATTGGGTATAGGTTTTGTCGGTAATTAGATTTATTGTTGTCGGTCGTGAAAATCGATCACTTCGACTTATCAAGAGATATATAGAACCCTAAAAAGAACTAAATTTAGTAAAAAAAAAAAATACCATTACTTTGTCGGCGTTCAATATGTATATGGCGATGTTTACGCGCAATTTCATATAGTGTTTTTTATATATTAAGTTTTGTTTTGTAGATACGTTATAATGCGTAGTCCATATCTACCTAAAAATGACAATATAACGGATCGAGAAGAATATTGAATCAAACAATATTATATTGTAGAAAACGTAAACTTTTAATTTAATAAATTATTATTTCGTATATTTTTATTTAAAGTAGGGTTGGTAAGTAAATGTTTTCAAATTATAAAAAAATATTAATATAACGCTCAGGAATGCCAACGAAAAATTAAATTTCACAATCGATATAATTGGAATAGATAATAGATTTAAACATTATCGTATTTCAATGGTTTAATGGTAATTACGAATCGGTATGTAATAATCTCATATTTTTATTCCACATAATTTATCATAACTTCAACAACAATATAACTGCCCACAGAATCGCTACGATGACAACAATAATTAATATTGCAGCAGTCCATGTGATCGTGTCACAACTAAGAGTAGTTTCATTATACATAGTTATATTATATTTTATGTAATAATGTACTTGTATTATGCCGCAAGTTCATAACGCATCGTTGCTTGAGGCAATATAATATAAATAGAATAAGTACCAAATATTATACGCACCGTGTTATATATTTCAATATTTCAATATTATTTTGTCCGGGTTGGTCAGGTCGTATACCTACTGGTCTGAGAAAGTTATAAAGTATATACTGTATTATACAGGATGCGAATCCGTTAATCACGTTCGCGCCCCGGAATTTAAGTAAATATATACTTAAAGAGCAATATTTTGAAACACTTAGATTTATTATAACATTATAAAGTCAAGTGTCTTGAGAATCAATATATTTTATCGAAGATTGTTAAGCAGATACATTTTTTTTTGGAAATATTTATGTACCTAACTAAATCAAAACTCCAACTAGTAGTTCCCAAGTTATTAAAATGTATAATATATTATTATACTAAGGATAATAGCCATTAAAAAGTGGTCTTACAAAAATGTAAAACAGATATAATATTGGATATAGACATGTAGTATTTATTATTGATTATTATACTCAGACAATCGTTGAAAAAATAAAATACGTTGATACTAATAGTTTTGATTGATTACTAATAGTTTCAAATTATCATAATCCACATATTTTAGTATTGAATTATAAAACTATTTGATCAAATTTTGATTAAAATCTATTAACATTTTTAAATAATTCGTACGGTTTATAATTAACAGAGTAATTCTAATTTGAACAAAATAATGGTACATAAGCAGTCCACTAATCTAAATATTTGAAAATATGTAATTCAATATTTTGAGAATCAGGATTTGAATGAATATAAAATTAAATAAAAATAAAGGGTCGAACATTTGCATGGCAAATCCCCCTGTAAAATGCTTCACCGGAAAATTCAATGACAGTACGCGTACTGATCAGATATTCATTAACACTTACCCTCTGCAAGCTCACTGATACATACTATTCAAAAACATAATATATCAATTGGTATACATAGGTAGTTATATTGTAATTGTTTAGGTCACCGTATGTATTACGCCATCATAATACTATAATCAACAAGCATATCAAATGTAGTTAGACTTAAGCGTATATGTATTTTATATTTCAACGTTCAAGAGTTATCGTTTTGCCGGCCATTCATGTATCGCATTTTACATGTCATTCTGATGATGTATTAAAAAAAAAAAAAACGGAGATATTGTTATTATAATACCATTGATTTTACAATATACTAATATAGTATATTGTAAATATTATGATATTACGTATCATAGAGTGTATTTCGTTAAACATTATATATAATTCTAGATGTCTTTCCGCTCTGGTTTTTGGGCTAATTTTTGGTCCCGTTCAATGTAAAAACTTGAAATTCAATTGTTAACATAAATATTATACTAACGATTACCACGATATTTTTTTTTAAATTCTAATAAAAATTCATACGAGAAACATTGCATTAAATATTCAAACTTTAAGCGAAAAATTAAAAAAATATATCTATTTTTTACTATAAAATATCTACAATTTTTAATTTTTGTAACAAACTTTGTATTAAACTATTAAGCTTTTTAACTCACAGAAAAACAATTGTAGTATGATAAATAGTCGATTAAAAACTAAAAAGTTGAATATTTAAATATTGTAAATTGTTAAAAAAAATACAAATTATTTTTAAATCTCTAAAAAGTGCTAAATATTTGGTGAAAAATCAATTTTTTA